TCGGGTGTTTGCTGGAGCGTCCAGGTCTGGTCCTGAGTCTGCCCCCTGTTCGTGTCGTCTCCTGTCTCACGAGACTCTCCTCTGGCATCACCGTCTTGGTCACCCCTCTCTGCTTCGGCTCAGAGGCATGGCCTCCCGTCTTCTAGTGTCTGGTCTCCCCCGGTCCCTCCCTCCCCTTCCTCAGGGCCCTGGCCCTACCTGTGTCCCCTGTGTCGAGGGGCGCCAGCGTGCTGCCCCTCACTCCTCCCAGTTTCCTCCGACAGAGGCCCCGTTGCAGACGCTTCACATGGACGTGTGGGGCCCAGCCCGCGTCCGTGGGCAGGGTCACGAGCGCTACTTCCTACTCGTTGTTGACGACTACTCGCGTTACACCGCAGTCTTCCCCTTGCGCAGCAAGGGTGATGTCACTGAGGTGCTGATCGACTGGATCCGCGCAGCTCGTCTCCAGCTCAGGCAGAGCTTTGGCTCTGACTTTCCTGTTCTGCGTCTGCACTCGGACAGAGGCGGGGAGTTCTCCTCTGGCCTTCTGCGAGCCTACTGTCGTGCACGAGGCATCCGTCAGACCTTCACGCTTCCGGACTCTCCGCAGCAAAATGGGATTGCTGAGCGCCGCATTGGCATGGTCATGGACGTCGCTCGTACGTCTATGATGCATGCGGCTGCCCCCCATTTTCTGTGGCCGTTTGCGGTGAGGTACGCGGCGCATCAGATCAACCTTCACCCTAGGGTCTCCACGCCGGAGACCTCCCCAGCCTTGCTGTGGACGGGGAAGGTTGGCGATGCGTCGGCGTTCCGGGTCTGGGGATCTCGGGCGTTTGTCCGCGACTTGTCTGCGGACAAGCTGTCCCCTCGTGCTGCTCCTTGCGTCTTCCTGGGGTTCCCCCCCGACGCGCCTGGGTGGCAGTTCTACCACCCCACCTCTCGCCGTGTTCTGTCCTCCCAGGACGTCACGTTCGACGAGTCGGTCCCCTACTACCGCCTCTTCCCCTACCGCACTCCGTCCCTCCCCCCGCCCCCGCTCTTCCTTGTACCAGGTCCCCCCCCGGTAGACCCCCTCCCCCCTCAGGGTCCTGCCCCTTCAGGTGTGTCCCAGGTAGACGCAGTCGAGCCTGTCGAGGTCACTGGTGACTCTGGTGCTGCTGAGGGTGCTGAGCCTAGGGGTGCTGAGACTGGGGGTGCTGAGCCTGGGGGTGCTGAGCCTGGAGGTGCTGAGCCTGGGGGTGCAGAGTGTGGGGGTGCTACGCCTGGGGGTGCTGGGTCTGGGGGTGCTGAGCCTGGAGGTCCTCCGCCTGGAGGTTCTTCGCGTGCTTCGTCTCGTCGGGAGCCACTCTCTCCACACGAGCTGCGCGAGTGGTTTGCCCGGCGCTGGAGCCGTGCTGCTGGTGCTGGTGGTTCTTCGGCTACTGAGGGTGCTGCTGTTGCGGGTCCCGGAGGTGCTCGTACTGGGAGTACTGGAGCTGCTGGGCCTGCAGGTTCGACTGGAGCTGGTGCTGCTGAGGGTGTTGGCGCTGCGACTACCACTGGTGGAGCTGCTGGAGGTGCTGCTGGAGCGGGTGCTCCTACTGGGGGTACTGGTGCTGTCCCTGCTGTTTCAGGCGTCGCTACGCGGCCTCGACCGTACTTCGTTCCACTCCTGCAGCAGGTTCTTGGTCTTCCGCCTTCTGCTGGTCCTCCTCCTCCCTTGGAGGGTCCACAGCCTGTCCCGTCGCAGTCACAGCTACAGCCTACCTCCCCTTTGCCTGCTCCTTCTCCCTACACTGGTCCTACTGGAGGTCTTACTGAGCGTCGTGAGCCTGCGTCTCGCCCTGCGTCGCCTGTCCGTACTGCTCGCGCTAGTGGTCGTGGTTCGCGTCCGCGTCCTCCTCCTGTTCCTGGCACGCACCGGATGTCTCTGCGTCCGTCCACTGCTCCTCTGCGTGCCCCTTTGCCTTCTCCTCCTGAGTCCTCCCTTCCTGCTCTTCCCGACCCGGAGTCGGACTCTCTTCGTGCTGCCAGTCCTACTGTCACGCGTTTCCTTGCTACTGTCGTCACTGACCCTTCTTTCGAGTCTACTGCTGCGTCTGCCCTAGTTGCTGAGCTCGTCGACTTTGCTGCTCACTGTCGCCTAGACTACGCTGCTAGTCTTGTTGCTGAGTCTGAGTCTGTCTGTCCTCCGTCCGTCGGGGGTGAGTGTGCCCTTGGCACGGACGTCCTTGAGGACAGGCAGGAGGAGTTCCAGTGTCTGGCAGCTGCTTCACCTCATCTCGTGTCCGTACTGCTTACCCCTGAGGGAGACCCGGATGCACTTGACATCCCGACTCCGCGCTCTTACGCGGAGGCGATAGAGGGTCCCTACTCCTCTCAGTGGCAGGCAGCTATGGATGCAGAGATGGCTTCCTGGAAGTCCACAGGCACCTACGTTGACGCTGTCCCCCCTCCTGGGGCGAACATCGTCAGTGGCATGTGGATCTTCAGGGTGAAGCGGCCGCCGGGTTCTCCGCCTGTCTTCAAGGCTCGTTACGTGGCTCGTGGCTTCAGTCAGCGGCAGGGAGTTGACTACTTTCAGACCTTCTCCCCCACCCCGAAGATGACCACTCTTCGGGTACTGCTACACGTTGCTGCTCACCGTGACTACGAGCTGCACTCTCTCGACTTCAGCACTGCTTTCTTGCAGGGCAGTCTGCACGAGGAGATCTGGCTGCGCCGCCCACCTGGCTTCACTGGGTCTTTCCCTCCTGGTACCCAGTGGAGCCTCCGGCGTCCAGTCTACGGTCTCCGCCAGGCGCCACGTGAGTGGCACGACACACTGAGGACTACGCTTGCGGCTCTTGGGTTTGCTCCTTCTACTGCCGACCCGTCGCTGTTTCTGCGCACCGACACCTCTCTGCCGCCGTTCTACATCCTCGTGTACGTCGACGACTTAGTCTTTGCCACAGCTGACACTACTGGACTCGCCCACGTGAAGTCCGAGCTGCAGAAGAGACACACGTGCACAGACCTGGGTGAACTGCGCAGCTACCTTGGCTTGCAGATCACCCGGGACAGAGCACGCCGCACCATTACCCTGACTCAGTCACACATGGTGCAGCAGGTCCTTCAGCGCTTCGGCTTCACGTACTCCTCGCCTCAGGCCACTCCTCTGCCTACTCGCCACTCACTCTCAGCTCTGCCTTCGGATGAGTCCGTAGAGTCGAGTGGCCCGTATCCAGAGCTTGTTGGCTGCCTCATGTACCTGATGACCTGCACACGACCTGACCTTGCATACCCTCTTAGCATTCTTGCACGCTATGTTGCTCCTGGGAGACACCGACCAGAGCACATGGCTGCTGCGAAGAGGGTGTTGCGCTACTTGTGCAGTACGTCGGGCATGGGGCTAGTGCTTGGAGGGCGGAGTCCAGTGGTCCTCACTGGGCACGCGGACGCTTCTTGGGCTGACGACCAGGCTACGCAGCGGTCGTCACAGGGTTACACTTTCAGCCTCGGTTCCGGCTCTGTTTCGTGGCGGGCTACTCGCTCGTCTTCTGTTCTCGGCTCCAGTTGTGAGGCTGAGATCTACGCTGGGGCCATGGCTGCCCAGGAGCTTCGCTGGCTCGTCTACCTGCTGACCGACCTTGGAGAGCCGCCTCGTTCTCCTCCAGTCCTGTACGTAGACAACAAGGCCATGCTGGCCTTGTGTCGAGAGCAGAGACTGGAGCACAGAACTAAGCACATTGCTCTTCGCTACTTCCTTGCTCGTGAGCTACAGCAGCGTGGTCAGTTGCGGCTTGCGTACGTGGCCTCTGAGGCCAACACTGCTGATGTCTTCACCAAGGCACTTCCGCCTTGTGATCATCAGCGCTTCTGCACTCAGCTGGGTCTTGTCCCTGTCTTGCCTCACTTGCTCACCCCTTGACCTTGCTTGTACTGTTACATATATATATACCTGCTCTTACTTGTCTAGTCTTATCTATATATATATGTACTCCTGCATGTGAACTGGCCTTCTGGCCTTGAACTTGTGCTCAGAATGTGTGGTGACGTTGTGATCCACCCTGAGCTTGCCTTGCTTTGCTTTGCTTGACTGGTCTTGTGACCCCTTGTTCTCCCCCACTTTGCCTATGGGGGTGTGTCAGAACGTTATAGCTTATACTTTTGTGTAGGCTGTAGTGGGGTATCCCATAGGGGGTACAACCCAATTAGGGTTAGTACTTGTACCCACTTCATTCATAGTTCATCCACTCTTGTTTCTTCTCAACTAGTGCTACCTGACACGAAGAACCTGCACTTGCCTGGCCCGTCGAAACTACGGCCACGATTTTGTGGGCCGTTCAAGATTATCAAGATGGTGACACCTGTCACCGCGAAGCTGCTACTACCGGACGACTGGCGCATTCACGACGCCTTCCACGTCAGCCTGCTTCGAAAGTTCGTGCCAGCCACGACCGACATCGCGCGACAACAAGCTGCCCCAACTGCACGACCTGTCCCGGAGCCGACTCTCGACCCTTCGAAGATTCTGGCACATCGGGTTCGCCTTGACGCAGCTGGTCGCCACGTGGATTTCCTCATTCGTTGGACTGACCGCACCAGTGAAGATGACACGTGGGTGCATTCTGACTCGCTCGACGCCTCGTCACTTGTTCGTGATTACTTGGCGCGCAGGCGTGTTTCAGATATTGACCGCCTTTCTTAAGGGAGGGGGGGTAGTGTAAGGAATTTTCCCGAATTCCTTATCGGGGTTGACTGCTACGCGTACAGCCCGATTTTCGAACTTTGCACGTTCGGCCGATTTCAACGCTGCCGAGGCTCCTCGCGTCGCCTTCGGCTTTTCCCATCGCCAAACCTGCACCCCAACCTCGCTCGTCCGAGGTTTCCTCCTAGCTAGGCTAGCCCCTACATTAGTCTGTGCCTTCATTGTATTCTCAGTTGAGTTAATCACAGTCTCGTTATTCGTTTACCTGCGCACTCCCTTTTACAACTCATAACAATTAGAGGACGCTGAAACGTCTGAAAGTAACATGCTCATCTCACGTTTTGTGAGAATGTCGAGCATGCGGTGTAGCTGGAGACCTCATCACGCATGTTACCCCAAATCGCTGAAGGTGACGCACGCTTCATTGATCTCGCCTGCAGCGAAGCAACCAACCTCCCAAGCAGGTTCGTTCCATCGCCTCACCCTCGCTTCGACCCTTCCCTCCCACCCAACGCTTCCACCGAAAGATACGCCTCAACCCACCACACCCACTGCTTTCCCACCAGCCGCTCCCGTGCTGTGTGCTATCACCTTTACCAACCCCGTCCGACCAGAGGAACTTCATCCTCGCGTGTCAACCACGTCCGAGCGTAGTCCGTACGCCAGACATTGGCCATGGCGGCTCAAGCGATGCGTAAACCGCATTCACGTCGGAGTCCAAGTTCGAACTACGCGAATGGCTATAAATTAGACGCTGCAACTCACCTCAGTCATCACAGCTTCTGCCTCCGTTTTCTCTTTCCTGCCTTCGATCTCGCACACCAAGCATCTCGCGGCTCACGGATTTGATATCTCCTGTGTGACTAACGTGTACGGTTAGCTTTTCATCGCTGATATTTAGTGCCTGTCGACCGTACAGCTGAGATTTGACCATCGAACCGATTTCTCAATGGCCAACGCCTGGCTTCTCTCGGCTCGCAAGCTGCTTCCTCTCACTCTCTCCGTCCTGCTTTTCCTCGCCGTCACCAACGCCAGCGCCGCGCGGCCTATCCTGCACGCGTCCCCCTCCGACACCAGCGCGGATTCCGCCTTGTCCCCGCACAGTGTGGAGCGCCGAAAGCTGTTCAGCTGGGACGGGGTGACCGTTGATCAGATCATTGCGGGCAGCCTGGGCACGATCGACGGTCCAGAGGACGACGAGGTGACGACGAAGATCGTGGAGATATTCATGAACGCGGGGTACAACGTGATGGTCATTCAGAGCGACCACTCCGTGCAGGGCGACCCGGCGTCCGCGCAGGTGGAGGTGTGGCACTTCTGGGATAACTCCGAGTTCAAGGTGTTTTACAAGCAGGGCCCGTTCTCTGTGGAGAATCTTGGCAATGGCGGGTACGAGAACTGGGCGTTCGGAGGCAACTGGCAGCGGTACGGCGCGGATGAGAAGGTCGTCGTCTTCTCCTGAATCTTGATTTTGTTACTCGTGTTCCAGTGGTTCCTCCTAGAGCCTGTGGGTCAATTCAGTTCAGAGACAGACCTAGCAGATGTGACCAGGTGTTGAGGTGATGCTGCTTAGCTCTATCTGATGTCCATCCATGTCACTGGTTTCCGGTGTGGTGTAGATTGTGATTCATGATGGTGTTCTGGTGCCCATGATTCTGTATAAGAATGTTTATGTATGATTTAATGCTGCACATACCGTACTACCATCTGGTGTTCTAGAAGCTGACACTGTTCCCTCCCCACATAAGCCACATTTGGAGCACGCCTCCAAGCCAGTTACGGTACATTCACGTGGTGTAGCATCTAGATGCAGCACACAGTAGCATGCCATGCCACTCAGTCAGGTACCCACTGCCAGACACGCATCGGTCCACTGTAGGAATGTCCTCCTCTCAATCGATCCCTGCTCGGCTGGACACGTGGCGCGATCTCCTCCCTCCCTTGTCCTTGCTGGCGTTGCGTGATGCACGCCTCACCCCTCCCCCGCGCACCGCCTGTGCTGCCTGCTGCCGCTGCCTCTCCAGCTGCTTCTGCTGCTTCTGCCCTGCACGCGCACTCACCCTCCTGCTCACCCCGTTTCCCCCTCCAACATGTGCGGCTGGATGTGTGAGTTTTTCCATGCCCTCCTCCCCATCCTCCTCGTCACCATCACTACCATCCTCCTCCTCTGCACCCTCATCAGCAGTCTCACCCTCCTTGTCTCCACTGATATCCTCTTCCTCCTCCTCCTCATCTTCCTCCTCATCCTCACCCTCCTCCTCCTCCTCCTCCTCCTCCTCCTCCTCCTCCTCCTCCTCCTCCTCCTCCTCCTCCTCCTCCTCCTCTTCCTCCTCGTCTCGCTCCTCCCCCGCACCATTCTCTCTGCCTTCCAAGTGGCTCGTCTCCCTCCACTGCGACTCTTCCATGTACTGAAGGGGACACACACGAGATGGGGAGGGTTGAGGGCTGAGCCGAGAGACAGAGACACACATGTGACAGACACACATACGCTCACAGGGGGCCATGAGCATTCACCCATCAGCAAAAGGGAATCTTCTCGTCTATCACCCATGAGCATGGTCACATACGCTCACAGGGGGCCATGAGCATTCACCCATCAGCAAAAGGGAATCTTCTCGTCTATCACCCATGAGCATGGTCACATACGCTCACAGGGGGCCATGAGCATTCACCCATCAGCAAAAGGGAATCTTCTCGTCTATCACCCATGAGCATGGTCACATACGCTCACAGGGGGCCATGAGCATTCACCCATCAGCAAAAGGGAATCTTCTCGTCTATCACCCATGAGCATGGTCACATACGCTCACAGGGGGCCATGAGCATTCACCCATCAGCAAAAGGGAATCTTCTCGTCTATGTGACTTGCAGCATGGTTTCAAATCTGACAACTGATAACATAAATGAAAATGATTCACTCAGCAGCTCCCACGATTTACTCCTGCGATTTTTCTGCCGACTGACAAGATCAGTTTTGTGCGCGATATATGCAAAGGCCACCTCTTCCCCACCCCCTACTGCACTCACGTGCTCCAGCTCAGCACCAACCTGTTCCAACTCAGAACTCACCTGCTCCACCTCAGCACGCACCTGCTCCAGCTCAGCCTCGTTCTGCATGCTGAATCCACTCGCTGCCAGCTGTCTGTCCAGAGGCCCCGTCCCTGTCACTGCCCCCACCACCTCTCTCCGCCCTCCCCTCCTCCCACCCCCTCTCCTCTCCGCCTTCCTCCCTGCCACCTCTTCCTTTCTGCTCCCCATCTCTGCATCACCATCACCGCCAGCTGCACCAGAAGCACTGTCTGGGGGTCCAGCAGCAAGCATGAGCGCCTGAATTACCGCTCTGCACGCCCTCCATTCGCCCCCCGCTGTCCCTTCTCTCCCCCATGTTTCTTCACCTTCTCCCTTTTCAGCCGACCCAGCATTCCCACCGCTCTCCTCCTTCCCACCACTACCTCCCTCCCCATCGTCTCCCTCCTCTCTCACACGCCCCTCCTCCTCCCCACCACCCGCCTCGTCGTCTGCCCCATCCTCTGCTCTCTCTCTGGCTCGCTCCACCAGTGCTTTGATGGCTGAAAACGAAGGCCTCCATGTCCCCTCCTCGTCGTCCTCCTCCTCCTCTTCGTCCTGTTCGTCTTCCCCTTCCTCTTTCTCCTCTTTCTCCCTTTTATTCTCCCCTTCATCTGCCTTGTTTTCATCCTCATCTTCACCTTTACCATTTTCTCTCTCCTCGTCCTTGTTACCCCCCCCTCCTCCTGGTGAGAGAACATGGGACCAATAGGAAGAGTCCAAAATACGATGATCGAAGGGATGAAAAGGTGTTTACTCGAAGAAATGGTGCAGTGCCGTGATGCAGGCATGGGACCAGGTGCAAGAGCAGGAGAAAAGGGGGGCAGCAGAAGTGTGGTGCCGGGGTGGTTAGAGGAGGTGACGAGGGTGGTGCAAGTATAGATTTCGAGTGGAAAGGAAGGGCAGAGTTGGAAAGCACAGAGGAGGAAAGCGCAGTGGAAGAAAGGGCAGATGGGGCAAGGGCGGAGCCAAAAAAAGGGGGGAGAAAGCACACCTGGAAGCGCTAAGGCGCTTTCTAAAGCTGGGTCTTGAGGTCTCCTGGGGGCAAAGTTGAAACTGTGAGGGGCAGGTGGAGGGAGGGGCGAGGTGGGGTGGGTGGGGGGAAGGTGGAGGTAGGGAGAGGGGCAGTGGGACGGAATGAGAGGTGGGTGGGGTGGGAATGAGAGGGCTGGGTAAAGAGGCAGTGAACGTGAGCGAGTGAGAATGGAGCCATACACAAATAGGGCCATGTTTGGGGCGCCTGTATTTGGCGCGCCGAAAATAGGCACCCTGGTGAGTGCACGTGGAGTGGAACTCAAGACAGACAGGCTTTAGACAGATGGGGTTGATTAATTCACGTGTGTGTGTGGTTTGCTCACCGGCGGCCAAAGAACTTGAAAATGCACTCCACGTCACGATCAAAGTACCTGGTGAGGGAGGTGAGGCCACGGGGAAGAGGTGGGAAGGGAAGGATGATTAGAGACATTATGTTGAGTACAGATCTAGTAAAAAGGAAGGGAATGGAAGGGTGTAATTGCAGAAGTCAGGGACCTGTGTAGACATGAGAGCGTGAAGTAGAAGAGGAAAGTAGAAGGCATGAAGACATGTGTGCACTGTAACTAATGTGCGTGTGAGGGGGTGAGTGGGCGCATGTATGCATGTGTCGACAAGGGGGTGAGCGCATGACCGCATGTGTATGGGGGTGGGAGGGTGAGCGCATTACATCTTGGCATTGCGGTGGGAGATGGAGACCATTTGAGGGAAGTCGATCATCGTTATCCTCTCCTCCTCATCCACCTGATGCCATGCCGTGACGTGCCATGCAAAGCACAGAGATGAATGTGCACAAATTGCAATGGGAACACAAATGGGGTTCAAATATGTGCCTTCAAGTGTCAATGAGCCGTTAACTTTCATCGAGGTCACTCAAAAGGGGCTACTAAATTCGTCCACTTGTTAGAGACACTCACAGAAAAACTGAGCCGCCCAGACACTCACAAGCAGGTTGAACTCGTTAAAGTCACAGTGGATGAGCCCAACGGCTGCCAGGCGAATGATGAGGGAGAGCACCTGATCAAACACCACCTGCGGCCGCTGCAGTTCCCGCACCTGCACACTGTGGGGTGGGGGGATAGGGGGTTGGGGGGAGGGGGGGGGGGGGAATGCGAGCAGGAGGAGGTGGAGGCGGATGATGAGGGAGAGCACCTGGTCAAACATCACCTGCGGCCGCTGCCTTTTGAGTCGACTCAAAAGTCATCTCGTATGATGAGGGAGAGCACCTGGTCAAACACCACCTGCGGCCGCTGCAGTTCGCGCACTTGCACCCTGGGGTGGTGGAAGGAGAGGGGGGAGAGGGGGCCGGGTGTGATGGGGAGGAGGTGGAGGTCAAACACCAGCTGTACACTGGATGGAGGCTGGGGGGAAAGACAGGAGGGAGGAGGTTGGGGTGCGGAGGGGTGAGCGAATGGGGTGAGTGGAGGGCGGTTTGAGAACGACAGGCAGAGAAAGACACTTGGCCAAGGAAGACGATTTGAGCAGGAGGAAGCAAGAGGTCGACTGTACACGCAATGCATGGAAGAAACGCTTTCAAAGGAACCTCGAGCATGGAAACGTGTGCGGGAAGCTGTGTCGTGATGAGGGAAATGATTACAGAGGAAAGGCCATCACAAGAGTCATGATGGCACAATGATTACAGTGGAAAGGCCTTGACGAGGGTCATGATGACGCAGTGGCGGTTGCAGTCCACTGCACCCGGCACGGGGAAACCCCTCTCCCCCAACGCCTGCCCGCACAGCACAGCACACGAGCAGCAGGGCAGAGCACACATCACAGGGCACGCAGAGTGGGTGGACCGTGGAGGTGGGGTGAGTGAGTGAATGTTACAGCACTACATGACATGGTCAACGGCACATCACTGCGAGCAATCTCACGGCCACATGCCCCTTAAGAGGCGCGGCAGAGCACACCTTGAGAAAGGCGAACTCCTTGAGAGCAGCGAGGCGAGAGAGGTAGAGCCAGTTGTGTGCACGGCGGTGGCGCAGGTAGTCGCGCTTGGCCTTCACGTTGCGGAACGACGTGCGCCCCAAGCGGTGCAGCTTCATCACCAGCACCTCGCCCTCCGGTCCCTCCACCTCGTATATGTCTGGGTAGAAAAGTGGGGAGGAAATGGGAGAGGGGAGGAGAGGGGAGGGGGGTGAAGGAAAGCAAAGTGAGGAAAGGTTTTGATTCGACTATTTGGATACCCAGACGAGGTGACGTTTGAGTCGAAGTCACTATAGGAATACCCAGACGGAAGTGGATGGGAGGGGAGGGGAGGTGAGAGGGGGGGACTCTGAGTTGACTAAAACGTCATCCAGAAGGAGCAGCTTCATGACCATCACGCCCTCCACTTCGGCTCCACCTCATACATGCCTGCCCCGCATTGAGGGGGGAAAGGAGGTCGCAGAGCTCAATTCACCTACTAACCCACTCACTGGACTCCTTGCCCCATCACTGCTCCTCAGTTATCCTCACCGCTCCCCACCGCTCCCCACCCCCACTTACCGGACTCCTTGCCGACGCCGATCTGCGGCCCCACGCCAGCAACGGTGCCGCGGTTGACGAGCGCCTTGATGGCCAGAAAGTCGTACCCCAGATTCGTCAAGCGGTACCCGTCGTCTGGCGGAGAATGGGGGGATGGGAGTTGGTGGGGGGAGGGAGTGGTGAGGTAGACAAGTGAGGGTCGTTGGGTTGACGAGCGCCTTGATGGCCAAAAAGTCGTACCCCAGATTCGTCAGCCGGTACCCGTCGTCTGGCCGGGGTGGGTGGGTGGGTGGGTAGGGATGTATGGGTAAAAGGAGTGGGGTAGACGAGTGAGGGTGCGGATAAAAACGAGGGGTGCGGAACAAACGAGGGGTGCAGAAGCAGAGGGGGTATGAGGGAGCAAGCGAAGGGGGTATGAGGGAACAAGCGAAGGGGGTATGAGGGAACAAGCGAAGGGGGTATGAGGGAACAAGCGAAAGGGGTGTGAGGGAGCAAGCGAAGGGGGTGTGAGGGAATAAGCGAAGGGGGTGAGAGCGAGAGAAGAGAGGTGAGCGCAAGCAGCAAAGGCGGATGAGACGTACATTTGGTGGAGTCGTGGTGCACGAGCTTGTGCCTCAGCAGCTTTGAGAATACTAAAGAGTGGGCTCCAATAGAAGAGGAGGGGGAGGGAGGAGAGGGCAGGTGGGTGGCACATACACTTGGTGGAGTCATGGTGCACCAGCTTGTGCCTCAGCAGCGTGCTTAGCGCCTTGTACGCCCCCCCTCGCCTGGCAGCCGCGCGGGACAGCGGAGAAAAAGGAGGGGAGAGGGAGGGGAGCAGAGGGGAGGGCGCATGGAGCAGGTTGGTGAGCGAGGAGAGGAAGGTGTGGGCGGACGGGGGTTTTGGCAGGGGTTCGGGTGGAGGAGAGGGCGTGGCGAATGGGAGGGAGGCTTGATCGGGTTGAAGAACGATTGATAAAGGAGGGTTGAAAGGGGAATGAGATATCGGGGGAAGTGGGGGAGTCTGGGTTCAAGAGCGGTTCAGGGTTTAGTGATTCTTCAGGAGCTCCGGGCGTGATCGCATCCGGGGTGCATAGTAAAAGGCGGTCACAGGGAGGCGGCTCACTTGAGGCTGGCGATTCGCTCCACGAGCTCCGACGGGACGATCTCATGCTGCCACGTGTGCACGCCACGTGTGCACGCCAGGGCACGGGATGTAGGCAGGGGAGGCAGTGAGGAGAGACGGTGATTGGCATTAGGCATTGCGAGTTAAACGCAGATAAAACGATGGGAGAAGGGATGAGCTGGATTCGACGAGGGAGCGTGGAGGAGGGGGTAGGGGGGTGGGGAGAGGGGGGAGAGGGGGGAGTGGATACAGAGGTGGCGGAGAACGGGAGGATCTGGATATGGACGGCCTAAAATGTAGTCTTCTGCGACGGCGGTGCCCAATCCTGCCGTCTAACTTGCCGGCAAACCTTCCGCCGTCTATAATTTCGTCTACCTCTATCCAGCCGTCTAATATTTCATCTACCCTGCCGTCTGTCAGTCTGTGGCGCCTGTTGCACACAAGAACCGTCAGAGTTTAGGCTCCGCGTGCCGCCAGAAAGCCGTCGACAGATTCGAGCTGGGTTTCGACGCGCCTGACTCGATCCCCGCTGGTGAACGAACGGAGTCCGTCGAAGCAACACTATTTTCTGTCTGTTTTACGGAGACTCAAAGAGTCGTGCGAGCGGTTTGCGCTAGAACGGACGGACGGACGTACGTTGCGCATGCCCATTTCGACGGCGGTGAGCACGCGGAACTCGTCCTTTGACAGGTACCGCAGCGCGTTCACGTCGAACTTCATCGCGCCGCGCCGCTGCTGCTCGCCGTCACGGCGGCTAGAAGCGTCGGCGTGCTTGCTGGGTGTAAGCGAACTAGAAAGAGCAGCGCGTTTCGCAGCAGCGCACTACTAGATTACCTAGCAAGAACAGGAGAGTACAGTGCTCTCAGTCTCGGAGACTCCAAATACCCACAAACCAGGGTGTGGAAAAGTCGAAGGAGAACGCATCGGTTGTGGGCTTTGGTGTGTGGTGAAGAGCTCTCATGTTGGCACCAGTCCAGGAAGAGAAATCTGAACCTGTAACATTTTTCCACCTCATTTACTCCCACTACTCGTACTAAATCTCACTCTACCTATCTCAACCCCTTTCGAACCCCCTCTGCTGCAACACCAATTCACAATCACACAAGCGAAGTTACCGTTGCCACTAGACGGGGTTGAGAAGGGCGGCGAGCTGGATCTCCTAAACACTTGAATCTCTAGCATATGAGAAGGGCGGCGAGCTGTACTCGTATGGACGCTAGCGTGCATACGCACAAGGGGGGGCACGGCTGAATATCCGTCCGTAGTAATTCCTGTTTTTGGAATGATGTTCCTGGCGAGGCGAGTACTTGCCTCGCCGCGTGTATCTTTATGCTCGCGCCGAGTGAATAGATTCTCGCCTTTTTGGACGAGTCACGAGTCGGCCGATGCAGAAAAATACGGGCACCACGAAATTCTCGCCACGCGTCGTTTCTCGAACGAGTCTGGCAAAAACGAGGCGAGTAAAACTACTCCACTCACTGTCCCCTCACGTGCAGAGGAGGAGTACGAGGATCCCAGCGCTAAGCAGCAGCAGCAGCAGCAGCAGCAGCAGCAGCAGCATGGCGCGGCGCAACAGGGGGGATTCTCCCAGTCCATCAGTCCAGCAGCATCTCCCACGTCTCAGACGCCTCAAGGAGCGCCTCAACAGTTGCAGCAGCGGGAATTCCCCCAGAGCAGCAGCGAGCGCGCATCGCCGATGGTGGAGCACATTCGGTCCATGGTCCGCTTCCGCGGCGGGCCCATCAGCGTCGCCCACTACATGGAGCAGGCGAGTTGCCTTGCTTGTCGCGAAGCTGGGGAGCGATGGGATGGGATGGGATGTGATGTGAGTGGGGCTCTTGATCACTGCATGCGTCTTCTTCTCTGCATAATAACCATCCATGATCCTCGCTCTTGCAATTTCCCACCCGAGCATGGATGCACACTCCCACTCCACTCCACTCCACTGCACTCCACTCCACTCCACTGCACTCCACTCCACTCCACCCACACCACACTACTGTGCGTCAAGCCCTCCATCCCGCCCTTCTCTCCTCCCCCGCGCACAACAGGTGCTGATGAGCAGCAGCGCAGGCGGGTAATACATGCACAGGTGCTGACTACTTTCAAGGCGCCTCAAAAGGGTGCATCCCTCTCTCCCTCCCTCTCTTTCCCCCCCCCCCCCCGCCCCCTCCTCCTCGCCTCACAATCCCAGGTGCTGACGAGCAGCAGCGCAGGCGGGTACTACATGCACAGGGACGACTTTTGAGGCGCCTTAAACGAGTGCATCCGCCCTCACTCCCCCTCCTGGTCCCCCGCACACAACTCCAGGTGCTGACGAGCAGCAGTGCGGGCGGGTACTACATGCAGCCGGACGACATTTGAGGCGCCTCAAGAGAGTGCATCCCGCCCTCCTTCCCCCTCCCCCCCTCCCCCGCCCACACTATCCCAGGTGCTGACGAGCAGCTGTGCGGGCTGGTATTACAGGCACAGGAACGACCTCTGAGGCGCTTCAAAAAGGTGCATCCCTCCCTCCCTCCCTCTCCTCCCCCTCCCCCTCCTCCGCACAATCCCAGGTGCTAACGAGCAGCAGTGCAGGCGGGTACTACATGCAGAGGGACGTGTTCGGGCGGGAGGGCGACTTCATCACGTCGCCTGAAATCAGCCAGATGTTTGGCGAGGTGCGGTGGGCATGTGGAGTTTTGAGAATTCTCAAAAGTCACACTGATGTTTGGCGAGGTGGGCACATGGAGTGGAGGGGTTTGGAGGGGGGGTGAGGCGAGGTGGAGTTGTGAGTGCATTGAGGAGGCCATGTGGTTTGGTGGGGTGCATGGGTGCATATGTGCAAGAGTGCATGGGTGCATTGGGTGCATGGTTGCACGTGCTTGCTCACAGTTCTCATGAACCTACACGCGCTTGCAGATTGCCCACTGCTCCCTGCGTGCACGCTTCCCTGTCTTGTCTTGTGCCATGTCACGACCAATATGCCTGCACTCTCCCTGCATCTCTTCCTGCCCTCCCCCTACCTGGCATCAGATGGTGGCAGTGTGGGCGATGATGGCGTGGCAGCAGCTGAGCTTTGACTTAAAAGCCCCCCTTCCTCCCGCTCCTCCCGCTGCCCCTCTCTCTTCAATGCCTCGCATCACCCCCATCAGATGGTGGCGGTGTGGGCCATGATGGCATGGCAGCAGCTGGCCGCGCCCGCTCTCCCTCCCCCTCCCTGTCCGCTGCTCTGCCCATACCCACGGCCCTCCCTCTACCGCTGCCCCCCCAATCAGATGGTGGCGGTGTGGGCGATGATGGCATGGCAGCAGCTGGGAGCGCCCCCTCGAGTGCACCTGGTGGAGCTGGGGCCGGGCAGAGGCACACTCATGGCTGACCTGCTGCGCGTGAGTCCTGTGTGAAGGTACCTCGGTAGTGCTAGTAGTGGTGTTACACGATGCAGTGCGGTTGGGATAGTCGTCCCCACATCATCAGTGCAAGGATCGTTGTCAGATGTGCAGGAGTCACTTTTGAGAGTTCTCAAGACGGTGGTTGTTACGGTTGCTGGAAGCAACTCTTTGGATCCATTCCACGGTGTCACTGTTGCCTCCCCTCTCCTGCCCCGCGCACGCTCGCGCTGCTTCTCCTCACTTGCCCTTCCACGCCAAATCCTCCCATTTCTTGCACATTTCACAGCCTTCACTTCAGCGGGTCGGTGGAGGTGCGTCTGGTGGAGGTGCGTCTGGTGGAGGTGCGTCTGGTGGAGGTGCGTCTGGTGGAGGTGCGTCTGGTGGAGGTGCGTCTAGGGCTCCACTTCGTTACTCTAACATCCTCTATCCCACCCCTCCGCTCTCCCCACCCCCTCCTCCAGTCGTCCGCCAAGTTCACGCCCTTCAGCGGGGCAGTGGAGGTACATCTGGTGGAGGTGAGCCCGGCTCTCAGGCGCCTGCAGTGGTCCGCTCTCAAATGCCGCCCTGCAGAGGCAGAAGAGGGGAGGGCGGATGATGGTGGGGCGCAAGGTGGGAGGGCGGGTGGTGGGGGAGCGGAGGAGAGGAAGGCAAGCAGTAGCGGAGTGGCGTCAGCAGGTGAAGCAGCAGTTGCAGCAGTAGGCGAGCTTGGCTCACCATCTGCAGTGGCACCATCGCTACCACAATCACCCTCCTCCTCATCATCGTCCTCCTCCTCCTCATCATCATCACCATCATCATTACCATCATCACCATCACCACGATCACCACCGTCACCATCACCATCAACAGAAGCAGCGGCAGCAGAGGAGGCATTCCCAGGGAAGGGAGTGTTGGGGCTGAGTGGCGCTACAGTCACGTGGCACTCTGCTCTGGAGGACGTACCTGAGGGAGGTGAGATGTGCGTGTTGCAATCGACTTGATTAGATACTGCCATGGCGCCTTCCTTCCTTCCATCCCCCACGCATGCACAGAAAGAAAAGAAAAAAAAAAAAAAAAAAAAAAAAAAAAAAAAAAAAACGCAACCAACTTAACATACAAACATAACAAACAAGCAAAAAACTTCCGTTTTTCCTTGCTTCTTCGTTGCTTATCCTTGACTGCTTTGCTTCACCCTACTATTCCTCTCTCTTTTCTCCCCCGCCAGTGCCCACCATCGTCATCGCACACGAGTTCTTTGATGCCCTGCCCGTGCACCAGTTCCAAGTGAGCCGCCACTCCAATTCTCACTGCATACCCGCCTTCAGTGCATACACGCCTTCACTGCATACACGCCTTCACTGCATACCCGCCTTCACTGCATACACGCCTTCACTGCATACACGCCTTCACTGCATACCAGTCCATCAGTCCCAAGGGAGCGTGCAACTGTAGTGAATGCTTGTGCCAGTGAGTTGTGGGCGCCTGTGAGTTGATGTACGATGTGTGTCGTGGGTGCCAGTGCCCTTTACCTCCTTGATGCCACACACCTGTGAGCTTGTGCTTGCAAGTCGTGACTCGCTAGTGAGCCTGTGCGGTCAGCAGGCATTATCAGATGGAGATTCCACGGTCACAGATAAAGATTCTCTGCTTTTTTCATGCTATCTCTTGCTGTCACAACCAAGCATGGTCTTCTGTGCCATGATACGGCATGTTATGGCATTGGCTGGACATTGCATTGCATGCTACCGCGCTGGCTTGACATTGCATTGCATGCTACCGCGCTGGCTGGACATTGCATTGCATGCTACCGCGCTGGCTGGACATTGCATTGCATGCTACCGCGCTGGCTGGACATTGCATTGCATGCTACCGCACTGGCTGGACATTGCATTGCATGCTACCGCGCTGGCTGGACATTGCATTGCATGCTACCGCGCTGGCTGGACATTGCATTGCATGCTACCGCGCTGGCTGGACATTGCATTGCATGCTACCGCGCTGGCTGGACATTGCATTGCATGCTACCGCGCTGGCTGGACATTGCATTGCATGCTACCGCGCTGGCTGGACATTGCATTGCATGCTACCGCGCTGGCTTGACATTGCATTGCATGCTACCGCGCTGGCTGGACATTGCATTGCATGCTACCGCGCTGGCTGGACATTGCATTGCATGCTACCGCGCTGGCTGGACATTGCATTGCATGCTACCGCGCTGGCTGGACATTGCATTGCATGCTACCGCGCTGGCTGGACATTGCATTGCATGCTACCGCGCTGGCTGGACATTGCATTGCATGCTACCGCGCTGGCTGGACATTGCATTGCATGCTACCGCGCTGGCTTGACATTGCATTGCATGCTACCGCGCTGGCTTGACATTGCATTGCATGATACCGCGCTGGCTTGACATTGCATTGCATGCTACCGCGCTGACTTGACATTGCATTGCATGCTACCGCGCTGGCTTGACATTGCATTGCATGCTACCGCGCTGGCTTGACATTGCATTGCATGCTACCGCGCTGACTTGACATTGCATTGCATGCTACCGCGCTGGCTTGACATTGCATTGCATGCTACCGCGCTGGCTGGACATTGCATTGCATGCTACCGCGCTGGCTGGACATTGCATTGCATGCTACCGCGCTGGCTTGACATTGCATTGCATGCTACCGCGCTGGCTGGACATTGCATTGCATGCTACCGCGCTGGCTGGACATTGCATTGCATGCTACCGCGCTGGCTGGACATTGCATTGCATGCTACCGCGCTGGCTTGACATTGCATTGCATGCTACCGCGCTGGCTTGACATTGCATTGCATGCTACCGCGCTGGCTTGACATTGCATTGCATGCTACCGCGCTGGCTTGACATTGCATTGCATGCTACCGCGCTGGCTTGACATTGCATTGCATGCTACCGCGCTGGCTTGACATTGCATTGCATGCTACCGCGCTGGCTTGACATTGCATTGCATGCTACCGCGCTGGCTGGACATTGCATTGCATGCTACCGCGCTGGCTGGACATTGCATTGCATGCTACCGCGCTGGCTTGACATTGCATTGCATGCTACCGCGCTGACTTGACATTGCATTGCATGCTACCGCGCTGGCTTGACATTGCATTGCATGCTACCGCGCTGGCTTGACATTGCATTGCATGCTACCGCGCTGGCTTGACATTGCATTGCATGCTACCGCGCTGGCTGGACATTGCATTGCATGCTACCGCGCTGGCTTGACATTGCATTGCATGCTACCGCGCTGGCTGGACATTGCATTGCATGCTACCGCGCTGGCTGGACATTGCATTGCATGCTACCGCGCTGGCTTGACATTGCATTGCATGCTACCGCGCTGGCTGGACATTGCATTGCATGCTACCGCGCTGGCTGGACATTGCATTGCATGCTACCGCGCTGGCTTGACATTGCATTGCATGCTACCGCGCTGGCTGGACATTGCATTGCATGCTACCGCGCTGGCTGGACATTGCATTGCATGCTACCGCGCTGGCTTGACATTGCATTGCATGCTACCGCACTGGCTTGACATTGCATTGCATGCTACCGCGCTGGCTGGACATTGCATTGCATGCTACCGCGCTGGCTTGACATTGCATTGCATGCTACCGCGCTGGCTTGACATTGCATTGCATGCTACCGCACTGGCTTGACATTGCATTGCATGCTACCGCGCTGGCTGGACATTGCATTGCATGCTACCGCACTGGCTTGACATTGCATTGCATGCTACCGCGCTGGCTTGACATTGCATTGCATGCTACCGCGCTGGCTTGACATTGCATTGCATGCTACCGCGCTGGCTGGACATTGCATTGCATGCTACCGCGCTGGCTTGACATTGCATTGCATGCTACCGCGCTGGCTTGACATTGCATTGCATGCTACCGCGCTGGCTGGACATTGCATTGCATGCTACCGCGCTGGCTTGACATTGCATTGCATGCTACCGCGCTGACTTGACATTGCATTGCATGCTACCGCGCTGGCTTGACATTGCATTGCATGCTACCGCGCTGGCTTGACATTGCATTGCATGCTACCGCGCTGGCTGGACATTGCATTGCATGCTACCGCGCTGGCTTGACATTGCATGGCATGGCAGAAAACGGAGAGAGGGTGGTGTGAGAAACTGGTTGATGTGGCAGAACCGGACAAAGAAGGCCATCCATCTGAAGCCCACTCCAACCCGAGCCATGCACAAAAGGACACCAGTGGCCATCCATCTGCCGACTACCCTTTCCGTTTCGTCCTCTCCCCCGGGCCGACTGCGGCAAGCACTCTACTGGAGGAGCGGGCGGCAGCCGTCCACGTGGAAGTTTGTCCTCTAGCAGTGAAGATTGCGCTGCAGATCACGGAGAGGGTGGCGAGAGACGGTGGGGCGGCGCTGATAGTGGATTACGGAGAGGACAGAATGATATCAGACAGCCTTCAGGTGAGCTTTGAATCTTCTTTTGTCATAGCCTCTGCCCTCTCGCCTCTCCTCTTCTTCCCTCACTCTCGTTCCCTCCCCTCATACCATTAATTAGCACGAGTTTGTTGTACCTAGAAACTTTTTTTCACTCACCCTCACTCTGACTCTCTGGCTCCTCTGTTTCCCCCACTCACTCTCTGTCTCGTGCCCCACAGGCCATCCGCAAGCATGAGTTTGTGAGCGTGCTGGATGCGCCCGGCACGGCGGACCTAAGTGCGTATGTGGACTTCGCTGCCCTCCGCCAAGCTGTCACCGACTCCAATTGTGAGTTGCCAAGTCGGATCACCCTGGCCTGGCCAAGCAGCAGGGATTGCTACAAAGAGAACTTTATAATGAGAACCTCACACTTATTCCCCTCATGCACCGCTGTTGCCCCTTCTCCTCTTATGTCAATGGTCCGCGTGCATTCCTGCTGCTGCCACCTCTGCTTCATGCTCACCTGTTGGCAGTGACACAGCCTTGTTGCTGTTGCCCCTTCTCCCTCTTCACCGTCCCTGCTTGAGTTTGTGGCGCATCACTCACTCGCACCTGATGGGTCGCCCAGGGCATCAACTGTGACCAATGTTGAGGCGCTTCAAAAGTCGTGCCCCTGTACCTCGTCACCTCCCCACTCAAGCCCTCCCATGCCCCCTTCCCACTGAATCCCTCCCCTTCACAGTGCCGGCTTGGGCGTATGGCCCCATCACAATCACATCTGCTGGGGCTGTTTGAAAAAACTGTTTCGTTCCAAAATCCCCCCCTCTTTCCCCTTTTTGCATCCTCTCCCCCTTTTCATTCCTCGGCTCGAGCCTATGGCCCCATCACCCAGTCACAGCTGCTGGGGCGGCTGGGCATCAACTTTCGGGTGGAGGCGCTGCTGCAAGTGGCCTCGGAGCAGCAGGCAGAACCCTGTCACCCCCTCCTTATGCCAACTCTCCCGCATCCCGGCCCCCCCATGCCCTCCCCAACCCTCACAGTACCAGCAAAGGCGTATGGCCCCATTACCCAGTCACAGCTGCTGGGGCGGCTGGGCATCAACTTCCGCGTGGAGACGCTCCTGCGAGTGGCCTCGGAGCAACAGGCGGAGGCTCTCAGAGACGGGTACTGGCGCCTCGTGGGGGATGGGGAACCCCCGTGGCTCGATGAGGAGGATGAGAGCCGCGCTTTGCTACTAGAAGTAGAAGCCATGAGAAACTTCTCAGATGCTCAGATCTCAGTGAAAAGTAGCGGCAATGACAAGGTGAGCTTGCACGCGAAAGCGATGGTTTCAGGAGCGAAGCACAGTCGAAAACTGATGCTGTGCGCAGAGCCGTGGTCGGTATGCACGATCGACTCTAATACGAAATGGAAGGAGAATGGAGGGAGCGAGTATGAAAGCTGTGATACTTTGTCGATGCTGAGCGTCTATTTTATAGGCCTTTGCACTCTCTGAGTCCGAGACATGGATCAACCTTCCACTCACTCTCAGACACGATCGCGGCTTGCGACTCGCTTGAGCCGTCATGGCGATTCCCGCAAGCGGACTCCGTTGCGACGCACGCGAAGGGACTCTGACGTGTGGACTACGCTCGGGCGTGACTGATACGCGACGAATAAAAGGGTTTCTTCAGTGCGACAAGCTGCGGTAGGGGCAATAACTAGGGAAGGGGTAGCTAATGGGAACGGCAGAAGTGCGATAGGTGTGGTCCGAGCAGGCGAGGTGTGAGCAGGCGAGGTGAAGCGTGTCGTGGGGTGGAAGAGTGGGTTGGTGCTGGTGGTGGGGTGGGGTGGGAAGGTCGCTTTGCTACACACGCGAACCACCTTTCCCAAATGTAGGCGGGATCAGCATCATCAGCTCACGCAAGCCCTTCTGTACATTCTGCTGAAGTGAGTATAATTATAATTCCTACAATTTGGATGAACACCGGTGTACGCGGTACGGAGCTCACGTGTGAAGAGGAATCGATTCGTGATTTGTTGTGTTCTGGGTTTCTAGCACATTACCGCTTTGAAACGCAAATCACCGAACGAACCTGTGCTTCAACCACTGGCATCAACAATCCTTTGTCGGAGAAACAGATGAATCTCCTTCCCAACATCACTTACCTCCCCCCCACCCCCCACCACTCACCACTCACCACCACTCCTCATCCACCATCCACGACCACTCACCTCACCACCACCACCCGTCGCCATGACTACTGCCTCGAATATGTGATTCTTGAATACAAGCTCCCCCTTGTCTTACTCCCTTGTCCTCATCCCTACGCCCATCGTCGCGGCATACCTGCACACCCTACTCTCTCCGCGACCGACTAAGGATGAAAGCTCCTTGTCGGTGTCCGCTCAATGGACGGCGGCGGACTTGACGGTGATGGGCTTTGTCGCGACGCACATGACGGAAACCGGTTGAACCGGCAGCTAGACCGTTCCGCACCTATACATTGCCGAGTACTGTAGCCGCCGCCAGCTCATGTAGAGAGTGACTGACCCGAGACTGCCCAGATTGGGCCGTGTGAGCCGCCCGACGACCGCAGACTGACTCGGTTGGCCGTCGACCATCGATCGAGTCCCGAGTCCAGACGCGAGAGACCGACGCGAGAGATTGACGCGAGAGCGCAATCGAAATCTCGACTTCCGATGGGTACGATATCTGAAGTGCCTTGGTCTGCAACTGTACCATCGCTGTATCAACCTGTGTGGTCGGGTTGGCGGTCGACTGTGTCACTGCACTCTACGCGCCACGCAGGCACCCGGACTTACTACTGTACAGAAGCACAGCGCTGTGGACATGCGACGACAAGCCATGGGCGGTAGTACAGCACTGGGGAGTTCTTTCGCGCGCTGCCCACAGCCGCTCAGAGGGCCCCGTCGCGTGGCGCTCTCGTGACGCCGTTCTACGTGGCTCTGTGTTCGTACGCCGTCGAGCTGTACGTGGCGATGCGTCCTTGCGCCTTCGCTGCCTCTCTTTCGCGCTTCATTCGGCCCTGTTGTTCAAATCCAACCGTCCTTTGCGGTCGCTTTGGCTCTGATGGCTGGGGCTCGTGGAAGCTTCGAAGATGGGACCCACAGGCGCCAATTCGACGGCTTCTGAGGATTAATCGACCGAAATCAGATTCGGTATAAATTGGACCGAATCTGCTTTCAGTCGATCAATCCTCAAGTCAAGCACACCTTCTGGAGTTGATCTCAAGGTCCTCCAGCCACCTTTCCAAAGCAGGCAGCATCGCTACTAGTGTCACACTGCAATCACACTACAACTTCACCACTCCCCATCGTTCCAATCGCCTGCACGTCGACGGTCCGTTTCAGTTCCCTGCCGAGCAGGCTCTTCCTCTGCATTCCGCGAAAAAACAATACACATCTTTCACTCATAAGCGTTTGAACACATCAGGAAACGGTTTGTTCGCCATGGCTGCGACTTCTCGAGCCGTCTTCCACCTCCTCCCGCTCCTCCTCCTCCTCCTCGTTACATCAGCGTCTGCTGCGCGCCGCCCGCCGCCAACCAAGGCGCAGATCAAGGCAGAGGTGTCGCGGATGGCGAAGCGGCTGCTGCAGCGCTACCCGCAGTACTCCAAGTTCTCAAAGGACTTCAACAAATACGTCAACCTCGCCAGTCGGTTCTGCTCCCTGACTCCTCCTCCCTGTTTCGTCCTCCCTGCTTCCTCCTCCCTGCCTCATTCTCCCTGTCTCATTCTCCCTGCATCATTATCTCTTGCTTCCTCTCTTTTCCGTGCTTTCATCCTGCACTTGTCTCTCCAGAATGATGGATCGTCTTCCTGCTTTCCCTTCTTTTCTTACCCTTTGTCTGCCCTCCAGTCACATTCACCCGCTTTGTTATTTTGCCGTTCCAGTAAATCCGACTCCCTCACTCCCTCCCTGTCCAAACTCAATCCCAACCCCTTCCTCGTTCCCTCCCCTCCAGTGAACTCCGAGTACAACTTCTCAGCACTTTCTGATGCCACCCTTCTAATCTGACTCAAAACTCTCCAACCCCAATCTCAACCTCAACCCCTTCCCCTTCCCTTTCCCCTTCCCCTTCCCCTTCCCCTTCCCCTTCCCCTTCCCCTCCAGTGAACTCCAAGTACAACTTCTCAGCACTTGCTGACGCCACCCTCCTCATTCCCAGCAACACAGCGGCAGAGGCGCTTTCCAAGAGGCTTCCTTTCACAACCAAGAACATTCCCAGGGCCTACAACGTCACAGCCTATCACGTCATTGCAAAACGTTTCGTCCTGCCCAAGATCAAGGCCATGCGGGCAGGCCAGCCACTGCCAACCCAGCTGCGACAGGCTCTCTACAAGCTGACCGGCAGGAACGGCAGTGTGGTGATGTTTGGGACGTACCCTAGCACCAGAGCGAGGGGGATTGTAACGAGCAGGGTGGTGATTCCTGGCATGTATGTTGGGCTGTACTTCATTGCCCATGGCGTTGACCGTGTGCTGCTGCCTCGAGGTACCCGCGTATGAAAGGATCACTGTGCTGCTGGCTTTGGGGGGGGGGAGCTGGCAGGGTTGTGACAAAAAGGGGGTGATTCCCGGCATGTACGTTGGGCCGTACTTCATTGCCCATGGCGTTGACCGTGTGCTGCTGCCTCGAGGTACCCGCGTGTGAAAGGATCACTGTGCTGCTGGCTTTGGGGGGGGGGAGCTGGCAGGGTTGTGACAAAAAGGGGGTGATTCCCGGCATGTACGTTGGGCCGTACTTCATTGCCCATGGCGTTGACCGTGTGCTGCTGCCTCGAGGTACCCGCGTGTGAAAGGATCACTGTGCTGCTGGCTGTGGGAGGGGGAGGTGGTGGGGTTGTGGCGAGCAGGGTGGTGATTCATGGCGTGGACCGTGTCTTGCTGCCTTGAGTCGAGGGAAGCGCGTGAAGTAAGGCCGAGTTTTGAGACCCCACAGCAGGGTGGTGATACCGGGCATGTACGTTGGGCCGTACTTCATTGCTCATTGCGTAGACCGCGTGCTGCTGCCTCGGGGAACGCGTGTGTGAATGAGGACCACCATGCTGGTGGTGGTGTGAGGGGTGGTTGAAGCCATACGGTACCGTATAGTTCCGGCTAGAAGACCCGCCGGTAAGAAGGTCCCCTGGGACTCTTATTGTGGCAGGTTTTGTGAGGACCCCCCTTTTGCCTCTAATCATCATAAGACCCCCCTTTTATGTATACAGTAGTAGTAATTGCTATTGTGAGTCAGCTTTTACTGGCACGCATTCTGACACGCATTCTGTGTCAGACTCAAATTCTTTGTGTCAGACCCGAATTCTGACAGAAATCTGACGCGCTGCTCGCGCGAAATTTGCACGCGAAGGCTGTTTTCGCTACAAATATAAGACCCCCCCCGTCCCAAATTGGACCGTACACCCTAAATAACAGATTGATGTATGTAAAATAAGTGTACCCCGGGTCTTCAAAATTTGCTGCCACCATAATGTCCACCCAAGCATATTTTTAAGCATTTGTATAGAGTCCCCCGGGTCTTCTAGCCGGAACTATACGGTATCAGTTTTGTAACTGGGGAAAGTGCTTGTGGGGTGGCAGCTTGCGTAGGAAGCGCTGTACTGTACAGACACTGTTCATAATAATATAGCATTTGGGGATTGAGTAACATTGACCATCTTTAACCTGACTGAAGCTCTAAAGTAGGAGCAATACTGGTACTGTTGATGATCAAAACTCCATTGAATCAAATGGTGCACATTCACTGCTATACTACCCGTAACTACTGATCAAGCTCTATTGTTGAGCAAAGACAGGTGTACTACTACGTATGGCTAAACAAGCACTACAACAATAATATCTTGATAGTTTAGAACTAGTCCAAGGTAAACGATGAGTTGTTCCATCTGCACTCTGTCTGCTACCACTCCACACACGGGAATGGAGCCAAACAATGCCTATCTGAACCACCATCACACGGTGAGCACGTGGAAGAGGAGGCAGCGGCGGGGCTCAGGGAACTGCTTGTTGCCATCACCCTGGTTGAGGTTGATGACGTCACCATTGGGTGCCTTGAGCTGCACGCTGGTGAGTGGCAGGCGCACACAGCACCCCTTGAAGGCCGACGCTGGCAGGTTCTTCTGAAACGTGCGCGCATACACCTTGGCCGGCTACAGACGGGGGGAAAGGGGAAGAGGGGGGGTGGGGTGTGGTGGGGTGGGGGGGGGTGTTCAGGCAGACGTTACAGGAGGCCTTCAGGGAGCATTCCTGTAGTGTGTCGAGCAGGAAATTGGATTGTGATTTTCATTTTATTTTATTTTATTTTTCCCTGAGATGTTCTCAGCCAGACAGAATCGTTTCTTGGCGTGAGGGAAACTGCAAGAGCAGCAGAGGTGGTAAGGGGAGCGGGAAGGATGGCGAAGCAAAGTCAGAGGGACGGGGTATTGGGGAGGGGTGTCTGGCGGGTAAAGGGAGGGCGAATAATGGAACAAGGGCGATGGAAAGGGGAGAATTTCTATGGTTAGGAGAAGGGGGAAGGAGGGGGGGGTTGGGAGGAGTTTGCAGGGAAGCAAGTGAGGGATTGGATTGGGGGAGAGGAGGGGTGAAAGGGGTGGGGACAGAGAGCACTCACCTGTCCAGTGGCGTAAAATTGATCACCAGCATGCGCCACTGTTTTCGCCAGCTTCGCCGCCTCACACTTGCAATACTTCGCCGGGCCCGTCGCATCAATCTCCACCTGGTAACCACCCTTCTTCGCCTTCTTATCACCAAGGAATTCGCCAGCGTCAGGCGAAACGCCGGTGGCGATGGCGAGGCTCACGGGACGATCGCCGTTCTGCTGGGAGAGCACGAGCGCGCCGCCGGAGACGACGGGGAAGCGCAGCGAGGGCAGCCCGAGCGGACCGAGCAGATCAAAATAGAAGTCGCAGGCGGGGAGAGGGCCGAAATCGAGGCAGATTCCCGCCGCGTCGTGGAATAGGAGCCCGCCAGGAGCTTGCGCGATGGTGCTGGCCAACGTGGCGGCTGCTGATTGGACAGCGCCGGCCATGGCCCCTGCTGCTGCGCCCAGGGCTGCAGCGGGGTCGAACGCGGGGATCTGCAGGAGAGCGCGACGCGGTCCGTCACGATGAAAAGCGGTGAAGTTTCGAGGAATGGAGGAGCTGGTGGCAGCTGTGACAAGGCATAGAACAGCTATGAGGATGCTTGTAACGCGGATGGCCATGTCGCTCGAACTATGCAGGTCAGAGAGTGAAGGCTGTTAGGTCAAAAAACAAGATTTTTGGAGTTGTGAGGAACGGGATGGTATTAAGCGTTTCGCAGGAGGTGTTAAATAGTTGGCGCAACGACGACTCGCTGTGCCTGGACGGCACAGCAGCTGCTCCAGGCAGGGCGGTGCGTGTGCGTGCTCGTTCCATTCGGCGACGTCGCGGATACTCAATCCAGCGCAATGAAGAATCGAGTCGCACGAGGTGCCCGGCGCGTCCGTCTCTCGAGTCATAATGGAGAAACGCAGCGCGAGCGCCTCCAAATCTTGTCGGGTGTCGAAAATGAGGCTGCTTGTGTGAAAATAATAGGGGACGACAGGGCTGAAAGAGCCTAGCAGGACCTTCGGGGACTCCAATCGCAAGATTTGAGGAGCTGGGGGAAAACAAAGGGGGAAGGGGTACGGGGAAGGGATCATGAGGGGAAAGCATGAACACGCTCCAGGAAAGGGGGAGTGTGGGAGGGCGTGGAAATGCGGCGGCGCACCTGTCATTTGGGGGGAGCGGAGAGGGGGTCCATTGGCTGCGTACTTGCAATCTCGAGCGTTGATTCTTTCATCCTGACAGCTGACTGTCTGAATGACAGCTAAACGGCGATTCGACCGGCTTGATTTCAAAGGAGACGTCCCGTGACGTGTTGGTAAACATTTTGACACCACAAGGAGCCACATAAGCAGACTTTTGTATGAATACTGGCACAACACTAAATGTACAAGGTGATATAATACCAACCCACAGAAAATCTGTATTATTCTTAAAATAGGTGCCATAAATTTTGTTGGAGTATGAAGGGAATTGTAGTTGGCATTCCCGCAGGTGCAGCAGTATCGCAGTATCGGATCAGCCCATATCAAGGGCAGGAAGGTCAACAGTCGCAAGAGTCAACTGTCGCGACTGTTGACCATCTGGACCGACGTTTAACCTACCATCGAGGAATGGCAACAGGCGTAACCGTACAGGTTACATGCAGCGACTCGGTAACAAGAAAGTAGTGCAACAGTCAGAGTCACTGTAGAATTGCCTGTAAAACAGTTATAATAAGGGAATGTACCCCTTAGAGTACATGGCTAGACTAGGACTATTTATATTTCCTGTATTCTATCTTTTAATCAACTTGGTCATTTACATTCACTATGATCTGAGATACAAGTCTTCCGCTACCAACTCTACCAAAGCACCTCCTATTCTATCCAAGGTCCTTACTTTAACATGGTATGAGAGCTAGTTTGGATTATAGGAACTGCTAAGGGGGGCTCCCAACAAGCTTCCTTATAACTTAAGTCTAAAACAACAACGACATCAACGGGCATCAACATGCCAGGCGCAGACTGCGGAGAAGCTGGAGAGAATCCAGTACAACCCTCCACAAATGTCGCCTCTACTACGACGACTGTGGACACAGCTCTACTCGAGCAACTGATCTCCCGCATCAGCGCACTGGAGACCCATCAGCCAATGAGCATTGACGGCTCAAGCTACGCCCGCAGACCTCCCGATCCTCAAGGAGCTGGATCTGAGCGATCCTTTACCTTCGACAATCGCGGAGCTCAAGGATCTGCTCAAGCACAACAAACACATTACGAGGCAATGGCTTCAATGCAGAGCAAGTTCCTCTCCACGTCGAAGCTCAGAACTACCAAGCCCTTCGACGGACAAGATTTCTACACGTGGAGCTTCGAATTCGAACTACTCGCTCAGGGCGCTCAGATCTGGATGTACTACGACGGATCATACCCCTTCCCAGCAAACGGCTCACCTCAGGAGAAGTCGCAGTACTACAACGAATCTCTCCTGGCCTTCACCGTCCTGATCCGGAATCTGTCGCCCGAAGAACAGCTGAGCATTCGCCCCTTCAAGAACGAGTGGGCGCCCGCGCAACAGTCCTGGGAACACCTGCGCACCTGCCACATGGCAACAGATTCGGTGACACTAAGTCGCCTGCTCAACCAGCTGAACAATGTAAAGATGTTCCCCGGCGAGAAAGCCGGACCATACATCAACCGCTGCAGGAACCTGAGAGATCAATTCAGGAAAAGCGGCGGCAACTTCCCTGACGACATGTTCGTCACCATCATCCTTGCTGGATTGAGCCCGGAATGGCGCCAGTGCAAATCCCTCCTTCGCACACAAGGCACCCTCAGCGAAACTGCCCTCTGCTCCACGCTTCTCTCCGAGCAGAAGGAAATCGACCTGTACAACGAACGAGGCAACAAGAAGGAGAAAATTGCCTTTTACGCTCAAGCGCCACCGGACAAGAAGAGACTCTTCTGCAAGTACTGCAAGAAGACCGGGCACATGATTCAAGACTGCTGGAAGCTGAACGGCAACAACAACAACCAGAAGGGTGGCGCTGCTCACCAGCAAGGAGGAGCCGCAGCGTGCAACCAAACTGTGTCACCGCCAGCCGTCGCCAGCACGTCCCAAGCCCCGGCACGTCTCTCTGCAAACACAAGCGACAAGGGGAAAAGCAAGGTCTTAACTTGCATGGTGCGTCGTGGACCACCTCGCCCCAACCGACACTACCGCTTCTTCCGCAGCTGGGAAGATATGTTTGCAGACCCACCTCAGGAGCGGCCCGAAGGATCAGTTGAAGAAGAAGAAGAAAACGACCCGACCTATGACGAGCTGACGGTTGGACGGATGCAGTATGACTGG